ACACTTAATCGTGCTCATGCAGAACCTGTACATAGACGAAGAGGCAGTGGGTAAGAACAGAACAAGCGATGCTGAACAGAACAAAGGATACTGCATGGCTTAAAATCAGGAAACATCTGCATCAAGGTTGTATCCTTTCACTATACTTATTCAACCTGTGTGCTCAGCAAATGATGAAAGAAGCTGAACCATACGAAAAAGAATGCAGCATCAGGATTGGAGGAAGACCCATTAACAACCTGTGATATGCAGATGACACTACTTTGCTTAGAGCACTTACTGATGAAGGTCAAAGACTACAGCCTGCAGTATAGATTATTATACCTCAATATAATGTAGTGCCTAAGGCATCTGACAGCTAACCTGAAGGCTAGTGGTTCAAACCCACCACCTACTCCTTGGAAAGAAGACCAGATAATCTACTTCCGTAGAGATACTACCTCAGGAACCCAAGGAAGGGTTTCTATGAGTCAGAATCTACTCGATGGCAATGAGTTTTTTTTTAGGGGGGTTATAAAGAAACCAAAAATCCTCACAACTAGACCAATAAACAACATAATGATAAACGGAGAAAGATTTAAGTTGTCAAGGATTTCATTTTACCTCAATCCACAATCAACACCCATGGAAGCATCATTCAAGAAATCAATGCACTCTATGTACTAGGTAAATCTGTTGCAAAAGATATCTTTAAAGTGCTAAAACGCAAAGATGTGCCCTTGAGGACTAAGGTGTGCCAGACCCAAGCTATGGTGTTTTCAATCACCTCATCTGTACATAAAAGCTGGACAACTAATAACCAACTCAGCACCAAGCCCTGGGTCTCCTCTAGAACTGACTTCATCTCACTCACTGAGGAAACAATTCCTTTATTGGCTTGTCTATAATTTCCTAAGAAACTATCTGAAAACCAGATGCCTTAAGTGGTGGTGGGAGCTCTGGTGGCACAGTGCCTAAGGCATTTGACTGCTAACCAGAAGGCTGGTGGTTCAAACCCACCAGCCAATCCTCAGAAGGAAAACTGGGCAACCTACTTCCGTAGTGATACTGCCTTGGAAACCCAAGTAGGGGTCGCTATGAGTCAGATCTGACTCGACAACAGTGAGTCTGGTTTTTGGTTTGGTAAAGTGGTGGTGTGGTTATTGATGCATTTGAATTATGATGGTAGCAAATACTGAATATACCATGGACTGCAAGAACAAACAAACAACTTTGTTGGAAAAAGTACAGCTAGAATGCTCCCTGGAAGCAAGGATGGATAAACTTCATCTTACATACTTCAGATATATTATCAAGAAGGACCAGTCCCTGGAGAAGGGCATCATGCTTGGTGAAGCAGAGGGTCAGCGAACAAGAGGAAGACCCTCAAGGAAACGGACTGATGGGCTCCAACAGCAACAATTGTAGAGAATGGCACAGACCAGGCACTGTTTTCTTCTGTTGTACACAGAGTGGCTAGGAGTCAGAACTGACTCGATGGCACCGAACGCAGCCAGTAGCAGGGCTGGAATTTGAGCCCAGAAACCATCTGGCTCCAAAACCTATTTATGTTCTTTCTACTGTATCAAGAACTTTCAAACTCTTAGGGCCTTAAGAGTTCCCTGCGGATGTCTCTAGGCCAACTATTGGCAAAAAACAACTCAACACCAGGCTCAGGGTCTCCTCTAGTACCAGCTTCATCTCAGTCACTGAAGAAACAAGTTGCTTATTGGTTTGTCCGTAATTTCCTAAGGAACCATTTAGGCTATTGCCTAAAGTGGTAGTGTAGTTTCTAAGGCACTTGACTGCTAACCAGAAGGCTGGTGGTTCAAACCCACCAGCCACTCCTTGGAAGATGGGGCAATCTACTTCCGTAGTGATACTGCCTCGGAAACTCCAGGAGGGGTCACTATGAGTCAGATCTGACTCGACGGCAGTGGGCTGGGCAAAGTGGTGGTGTGGCTCTAGGATGCTGGAAACAGAAACTACAGACTACTAGACAAGGGATAAGCAAAATACAGATAATGAGAAAAAATTGCAGTTTGATCTGCAGTAATGTGAAGATTGAGGCCGACAGTGGAGAAGGAAGGATGATACTGCATTCCCATCCTTGCAAGGAGACCCAGTCTCTGTCAGATACTAGTGCCAGGGTGCTAATGTTTATTCTCAGCAATTTTCCAATTCATAATTCCTGACATCCAAGTAGACCAATGATGACAAGCAAAGATCATAGTCTCTGGGGAGGGAAAGACCAGGACATCAAGTCAAGTTTTGCTTACTAGCAAAAACAGTCTAAAGGGTTTCTTCTTTTATCTTCAATCTGTTCTCAGACTTTATCTCACTTGCTTCCTTGCTACTAAAACTCTTGCAGTAATGCAAGAAAACTCAAAACTAGCCCTGTAACATGTGACTACTCCTTAGGGAATTCACCTTAATGACACATCAGCTACCCTTAACTCCCCAACCTTCACACTCACACACACACACACGTATATGTCCTTGCAATCAATGCTGGAAGTCACTTGCTATGTTAAGGTCAATTACATTACGTGCACTTCTTTCCCCCATTTTTAGTATTTGTTTGTATTATATGTTAAATACTCATGCCATTAAAAAAAAAAAGTTACCAAGTCAATTCTGACTCATGGCACCCCCATGCGTGTCAGAGCAGAACTGTGCTCCATAGGGTTTCCAATAGCTGATTTTTCAAAAGAAGCTTGCCAAGCCTCTCTTCCAAGGTGCCTGTGGGTGGACTTGAACCCCCAACCTTTTGGTTAGTAGTCAAATGTGCTAATCATTTATACCACCTGGGGACTCCACTCACATCATACAAAGTGCTATTCTGATAGTTGGACCCAGAATACCGTAAGCTCTTAACCTTAAGAAAAAGAAGATGTGCATGTTCATGTCAAATAATTAAATTGCCACTCACGTTAAGGTCCCCTCCAGATAGGGACTAAAGGGCCAGTTTCTTTCAAGAAATTGGTCTGATTACATCAAGTCTGTCAGATGCCTGCGAAAATCTCTAATATCTTCCATAAATAAATAAATAATTTTATTGACATTAAAAACATACAAGGAATATAAGGGAACCTTCTGAAATGCTGGAAATATTCTATACTTTCATTTAAGTGGTGACCACACAGATGTACTCACATATAAAAACTCAAGATGTATACTTAAGATTAATGTATTTTACCAAATGATCTTATATCTCAAATACAGAAGTGAAAAGAAATGGATGTGTATAATATTTTGTATAGCCTTCCTAGGTGTTTTGCAGAAGATAAGTTCTTCAGGACATCTAGTTCACCATTTCACTAATGCCAAAATCTAGGTTTACTTTAAACATATTACCTCTTTTATTTCTATTTTACATTGTCGTTATTCTTTCTCTGTGTATGTGCGGCTATTCTTAAGTGCTCAAAGTACAGTCTCAAA